ACACTGTATACTACTCACTTGTATCAGAGCAAAGTTGGGTCATCTATTTTGAAACGGAGGGAGTAGTACCTTTTTGCATCCATTGTGAAGCTATTGTACGTGAAATGGTGATGTACCTTCGCTTTAATGTGCCCTCCCCTTTGAGTGAAAGTCATAGGATGTGCTCACTGGCGTTGTTGTTTAGTTTTTCTTACAGCTGACAGTTCATTCTTATTATCGGCTTGATAGCTCACAAACCGTATCATATTTCACATTTTTGGAAGCGGGATAAATAGTGGGGGTTTGAATACTGTATTTGTCGGATGCGGAAAAGAAAAGAAACGGACAAATACTACATGCACCATATACAAGGAACTAAGGCCACTCCAGTGCACGACCCCAAACGGACGTCCGTTTTGCCCGGATTTTATCCGTTTTGGTTAGGACAATGGGGTCGTGTACGGGCCATGCGGTGGCCGTGCACTCCTGTCCATCTCCTTTTTCAAACGCCAATTTGGAATAAACCACGCCCTAGTTCAGCCCAGCGGCCCTAGTTCACGCCGGCAACACAGCCAGCGGCCCTACACGTCCTTGCCGGTAACACAGCCAACGGCCGGCAACAGAGTCAGCCTACAAAATGAATAGTTTTGTCGCCGGCAACACAACCAGCGGCCGACAACACAGCCAGCCCCTAAAATGAATAGGTTTCTCGCCGGCACATAGCCAGCAGCCCAACGGCCGGCACCCATGCCAACCTCCAAAAAGAACGTCACGGCCGAACAGACGACCTAGTTCAGGCCGTCGGCGTCGAACATGTCCTTCTGCCTGGCCTCGAACCAGCTCCTCGTCTTCTCGCTCATCTTGGTCAAGTCCACGCTCATGATCGCTAGGGCCACCTCCTTTGCTTTCGTTGCGGCATTGGTGGCCTCGATGTCGAGCTGCCTCTGCCTGGCTGTGACATTGGCGGCCTCGATGTCGAGCTGCCTTTGCCGGGACGCCTCCTCCATGTCGGTCTTCCTCTTCTTGGCTGCCTCCTCCATCTCCAGCTTATTCCTTTGAAGCTCTATGTATTTCTTCATTTGCTTGTCCTTGCTTTGTCGCTTTTTCTCGTCCCTCACATCCTTTTGAGACATCATGTCGTGCAAAGTCTCATGCAAGGCCATGGATGACGCATCACGTATGTCGTCCACCTTGGAGTTGGTCTTGCCCCTCGGCCTCTTCAACGCCTCACCATCTTCACCTCCGGCCAACGCGGCCATCTTTTTGCCTCTCTTCCTTTGAAGTTCACGGTATTGATCTTTGAACTTAGGACAATTGTTGATGAGCGTCCAACAATGCGTAAGAGTGATGGCTTGTCATTGTGCCGGGCCTTGACCGCTTCCAAAGATTGAAATGCGTACACGACCAACAACAATTGAACATGCAAACATATAGAAGGCTGAAGTCTCATGGCCGTAGCAACGAAAGAACTAGGACGAGGAGAGCATACCATGCCCCCAATACCGAGACCACTCACGGGTCGTGCTTGAACGCTCTCAAGTGCGGCACAGTACTTGTTGCATTCTTGTTGGATGAACAACCACCTCTTTTGAATGGAGGTGATGCCACGGTCGCTCGTAAATTGGTAGGGCGCAAACAACTTTCTTCCATGGAATGTTTTGTGAACTCTTGTCCAAAAAACAAGTCCCTTTGTTGCGCACCGGTCCTCGGATCTTGACTAATCTCCACCAACTTTGGCAAATCAACTTGTCCTCTTCTTGTGAGTATGAACCTGTACGAATGCTCTTCTTCTTCTTTTGTGCTTCCGCTCTTTGGGAGCTCGTCGATGAACAAATAGCTCGCCCCCAATATCAATGCCTTCTTCTTCATCACCATCACCTTTGCAATAGATGTCATCATTTTTATGCCACGAGTCACCATGGCTGTAGTCAGCATGGTCGTGAGCCTCATTGTCTTCATCGCCAATGTACTGGGCGCGACCATCCTGACTTTGGGTCTCGTCGGGATCATAGGCACCGCCATGCCCACCCTCGTAGATGACATTCTCCATGAACAGGTTGTAGAAGGGGTCGTCGACAGTTGGCGTTGGTGTTGGCATTTCGTCGAACGGGACGCCGGGCGACGACATGGTGCCCGTAGACGGCGGCCGTGCTTGCTTTCTTTGCATCTCGACGGATGTCCGACCACCGTTGCTGGACGTCGGCGTGACGTTGAGGTCGATGACGACCGAGGGGCGCGGGATGGACGGCGCAATCACGCCAACGTATGGCGACCCCGAAAAACAGGTCTGGCCATCGTGCCTTGGCGGAGGAAAACCGGGCGAGACATGTGTGGTCCGCGACGTCGGCGAGGGGCAGTGCGGAGGCCAGGCGACCGATGAGCCTGTGCTCGCCGGGACTACGGCCGCTGCAGAGAAACCCGTCGGACGGCAAATCCCAAGCATGAGGAGGGTGTGCGCTTTGTTGACGATGCCCTCCTTCTCGTCGACCTCGACCTTGCGCCGTGCGGCCTCCACTGCATCACGCTCGGCGGTGAACTTGGCCATGACGTTCTTGCCCTTGACGACCGCCCTCCGGTTCCTCCTCTTCGCCGATTCTGCGTCCATCTTTGCGACTTCCGCCGGCGTGCATTCCGACCGCGGCGTCCTCGGACCCTTGGCCGCCTTCTTCTTCACCTTTCCGGGTGGGTC